GGAGGGGGAGGGCGTCGGGGGGGTGGGGGGAGGCGTTCCGGTCCCCGGGAGACCCGCGGAGGGAGGCGGAGGCTGCGAGGGACTCCGGGAAGCCATGGACGTCGAGAGGCTGCAGGAGGCGCTGAAAGGTGGGGGTAGCTGCCCCCTCTCCATTCCCCCTCACCTTCTGCGGTCCGCTCTCCTCTCCCTTCCGGGCGGGTGGCTCCGAGGGCCGGCGCCGGGCGGGGGGACGCCGCGCTTCCCTGGCTCCCATCCCCCTCCGCCTCCCCAGGGGCGGGGAGCCCTGTGGGCAGCTCCCTCCCGCCCCGCTCTGGGCTTTGTGTCGGCCGCCGGCGTCTGGGCTGGGGGAGGGGAGTCGGGGAGGCTCTTGCGGGGGCCCCGGCCCGTCTCCCACCGCTTCGGAGCCGTGGGCCCGCGGCCCCCTCCCTCCCGGGCAGACTCAGTTCTTCGCCAGGCCCCAGGGCGCCGGGCGTCGGAGTGAGGTTTAAAAAAGTGAAAGGGTGGGGGGCGGAGTGGCACAGCAACTTTTAGGTTGTCCCTGGAAGCCTTTTTCAGGGCTCCCGAAGTCATCTATTCCACGCGCCCTAATTCTAAGGTGGTTGCCGTCACTGCTCTTGATTGCACGCCTTCCAAGCAACAGGCTTGAGAGCAGTGGTTCTCACACTGAGAATCGCGTGATTTCAGTGTTTTGAGAATTACTCTTCGCCATCCAGAATCGTTTGGAAATGCCTACTTGGGGTAGTTGGTGTTTCTTGAAACGGCAGACTTACAGACTTCACTTAGATAAACAGTTTGTGGGAGTTGGGGTCTGGGGATTTTTATTTTAGTCGGATTGCCAGATCTGATGCTGGTGTTCCTCCTGACCACACTTTGAGAAGCGGTGCGTTAAGGATGGTTTGAGGACAAGCTGAGTGCCCCCTTTAGGAGGATTCTTGTTGTCTCTAAGGAGGGTGGCATGTTGAAAGTAGAACTTGGAGGGTCGACGTGGGTATTGGTTTGAGAGGCTTTTTTTTTTTTAAATTGTTAATGAAGGGAGGGACTGGGAGGAAAGTTTGTTTTTAAAGGGCATTTGAGAGATTCTGATAATATTTCTTTCTTCCCTTATCTAGATTTTGAGAAGAGGGGGAAAAAGGAAGTTTGTCCTGTTCTGGATCAGTTTCTTTGTCATGTAGCCAAGACTGGAGAAACAATGTGAGTTGAAAACGTGCATTCATTGTTATGTGTCATTCAGAATTGCTTAGGAAAGGGAAAAAAGTGTATTTTAAAAAGTTGAATGATGCATCTAAGTTGTAGAAGTCCTGGTCACTTAAATAAGTGTATATACTTTATAATTTACTCTGTGCATGCTCTGTAATGGATTTTTTAAAAAAATTTTGTGTTAAAATTTTTTTATATTCCCTTTGGCACACTTAGCTTACTAGTCTGAAAGAACCAGAGAAAGGAAGAATGCCTATTCCAGTATGATCCTTTTTGGCCATTAACAAACGAGCTCATGCTCAGACTTTTGTGGCTTTGATCCTGTTTCAGAGTCTTGTTGGTATTTTCTCATTGTCCTGCGTCCAACCTTTTGTTGTCATATTTACATGTGTGGGTGTTTGAAGTGTCACTTCTATTTATTGTCTTGAGGACTCAGGGTGATTATCTGACAAATTCCAGATGCTACAGTTTTGACTGTCCTGTAAACTTTCTAGAATAGCTAACTTGTTACATATGCTCAGCATTTTATTAGGCTTGTTTCCAAATGTTCTGAGACTGAAACTTACACTGTAAAGTTAGGGCTATTTTCAGAAGGAAAATTCTAGTTCATTGCTGTTTTGTAGTTTGTGTGGTAGAAGCTGTTTTCTCACTCCGGCTAAGTTAATAAGTAAAGGACAGTGCATCTTTGATGACTTCTTCATAGTCTTTGGGTGGGGAATGGGAGCGGGAAGGGATGAGGTTTGTTTGGGTGCAATGTTAATAAGTGGATTCTCTGCCTAGTATGAGTGTAATCTTCAGCAGGTTATGTACAGTTTCTCTGGTTTTATTAGCAAGTATTCATTTCTCACAAGATTAGCTTGTAGTTATGTAGTCTAGCCTTCTAACGATTAGCCTCATTTTAGAAAGGAAAAAAACCTCTACTGCCCCAGCACTTGATCTAACGGCCATGTAGACAACCTTTTCTGTCCTCTTACAGTTATATTAAAAAATGCCTATTACCCATGAATGTGATTGTGATGTGTTCAGTCTTTTAATTTCTATTTATTACATTAATAAATGGAACCCTCTGGGAGGAGAAAGACATTTTTACCTCTGAATTATAGTCTCTTGTAGAACATCTTGATTTTTAAAAATTGATGTAGATAACCCTAAAAATGACTCGATGCCATCTTTGAAAAATAAATTAATCCCTAAACAAATGCTTAGATTACCACTATTCCTCTTGAATTGCTATCTGGTCCATACTTATCCCAGTCTACAGTATTAAGCCAAAAAGCATTTCACTTTGGCAAGTTTTTTGATATGCAAGATTATTTCAAACTATTTGGAGATGAATACTTTTAACTCTTATTCAGTGTATCAGTGTTGTACACACTGCTTTCCCTTTTTGATAAAATACATTGCCTGTAAATGTATAATTAGTTGAAATTGTCTGTCCTATCTCACTGGAACACCAAGTGACTGGGGAAATTATCTGATTTTTTTTTTTTGACAGTTATTTTGTCCTGATAGAGGACATAAAGTCCCCTATCCCCACTCCCTATTAAGCGTTTGTATATTTACTAAGTGCTTTGTAATGACATGATTGGTGTTTTTAGATTCTTTATTAGATTTAATAATATTTGGAAAATATCTTTATTTTATCATTCAAGCAGCTGATATTTATAATTAGCTTTAGGATTTGATGTCCTTTTTTTTTTTTTTTTAAAATCAACAGGAGCATACCTTTTTTTTTTTTTTTTTTTGTGTTGAAGTCTCACTGCCCAGACTGGAGTGCAGTGGCCGCTCCTGGCCACCGCAGCCTCGACCTGCTGGGCTCCGGCGATCCTTCCGCCTCAGCCTTCCAAGTAACTGGAACTACAGGCGCGTGCTACCACGCCTGGCTAATTTTTTGATTTATTGTAGAGATGAGGTCTCACCAAGTTGCGCAGGCGGGTCACGAACCCGCGGGCTCAGGCAATCCACTCACCTCAGCCTCCCAAGACGCGGGATTACAGGCTGAACCACCGAGCCCGGTTGAGCATACCTTTTGATAATAAAATGTGTAGTTTCTGTTATCCATATATGGCTAAACCAAGCTTTGTCTAGTTTGTAGGGTTGTAACAGGAGGATGACAATTGATAGAATAGCAGTTTAGATCTTTCTGATGTTTTAGAACAGATAGGTTGCTTATGATAAGAATTTCACAGTTCTGACCATTTTCACTAATAATTACCAGAAGAAAGCATTAACAGAAGTATGTGAACTACATTTATGGATGAAAAACATTGACAACCCTGGCTATTTATTTTTCCTTTTCAAAAAACAATTGATTTGACACTTGTGTTTTTAGCTAAGGATTTTGAATTTTAAGTGTAGGTTTTAACAGGAGGTTATAGAAAAATAAAAGCATAGGGACAGTTTTCCTTCCTAGTCTTTAATCCTTTGCACTTGGATATCCCCTCTGAGGGGACATTGTAAAACTAGCAAACCATTTGATTGCCCCTTCTCAGGGGACATAAAGAGATTGCTGGTGATTGTGCAGAACAAACTTATGCGAGCACAAATTTTTCAAAAATGTCTTTCTTTTCCTTGAAGTTTTCCGTCCAAATTGCACAGAAAAGCAAACAGTGAGATAGAATATATACCAATATGATCGATCAGTGGAAAAGTGGTTTTCAGGAATCACAAGTGTGTCCTTCCATACCATCTTTGAGCAACAGACTGAACAATAAATCGCATATTATTAATGTGGGAGGAAGAAAACGGGACTGCATTGTCTGCTCAAATAGAAAAACACCAGTGGAAGACGTTAAACAAATTATTATTGCACAACATGTATCAGTGAACCTGTAGTGCATAATCGGTGACTGTTTACATGTTACCACACATTAGAAAAATATAAGATAGCTGGGCGCTATGGCTCAGCCTATAATCCCAGCACTTTGGGAGGCGGAGACAAGAGGATTGCCTGAGTCCGGGGGTTCAAGACCAGTCTGGGCAACTTGACCTTGTCTCTACAATAAATCACAAAAACTAACAGGGTGTGGTGCCTTGCTTCTGTAGTTCCAGCTACTTGGAAGTCTGAGGCGTAAAGATTACCAAAGCCCAGCAGGTCGAGGTTGTGATGGTCGTGAGTGTGCCACTGCACTCCAGTCTGGGTGATAAGAGTGAGACTCCAGCTTAAAAAGAAAAAAAGAAATGTATAAGATATAAAATTGTGATTTTTTTTGGGGGGGGGGAGGGGGTCATAAATTTCTCAATGTCCAAAATTCCATTATAAGTCAATGTTAAAATAAAATAATTGGCTTCAACACTGTAATATGAAGTGATTTATTTTTTACTATTTCATAAAAAAATGTGGTCGAGTTGCTGGTGGGTGATCCGTGAGATGTCTCTGAGTACAAAAGGTTACAATTACCTGTAAATATCTAATGTAGGAAGTTATGAAAGATGAGAGATATTATAGTATATTATATATATTATATTAAAATCCCAAATGAACGGTTTCTGGTCACTTCAAAAAATTATTTTTATGTTGGAAATATTGCTTTTATCTGAAAGTGGAACATTTTTTCTTGAGCAACACTTTTCTGAAGGTACCATAGTGCCTAACGTAATGCTAAAGCTAAAGCATGTGTTGTAGAAATGTGTGGTGGGTTTTATTCATGAATTTAAACATTTGATGGGTTTCAGTACATAGATTTAAATATATTTGATGGATTTGAGTTGTAATTATTATTCTTTTTGATGGTCAAATTGTCTTCTGTTTGGCCAGTGGTAGCCTTTTCCAGAGTCCTTTTGACATGACCCTAGTAGTCTTTGATAAGCATCCTTGCTCTCTGGTATGAGAATATGTTCCAAGCTAATTTCCTGCCCCAGACATGGAATCAGCTATTTCTCAGAAGACTTGCTTTCTTTTGTGGGAAATGGTGTTTGAAGGCTACAACTCAGGTGCTAGAGATGCTTATTATTACTGAACTAGATAAAATACTTTACTGATATTTGCAGTTCAGAATTGGGACTACAAGGTTTTTTTTTTGAGTTGGAGTCTCACTCTGTCGCCCAGACTGGAGTGCAGTGGCTGCTCCGGGCCACCATAGCCTCGACCTGCTGGACTCCGGCGATCCTTCCACCTCAGTCTTCCAAGTAGCCAGAATTACAGGCATGTGCTACCACACCCAGCTAATTTGTTGATTTATTGTAGAGATGAGGTCTCGCTGCCCAGGCGGGTCTCGAACCCACGGGCTCAGGCAATCCACTCACCTCAGCCTCCCAAAGCATGGGATTACAGGCTGAGCCACTGAGCCCGGCTGGGACTACAAGGTTTTAAAAAATTATTTTTTAGCTGGATGTGGTGGCGCACGCCCGTAGTTCAGCTACTTGGAAGGCTGAGGGAGAAGGATCACCTGAGCCCAGCAGGTCGAGGCTATGGTGGCCCTAAGCTGCCCTCCAGCCTGGGTGACAGAGACTCTGACTCAAAAAATTATTTTTGTTTTATGTATATGCACATATATAATTTATCTTCTTTACCATTTTTTTAGTGTCCAGTTCGTTGGTAATAAATACATGTATGGGGGACCCAAAAAAATGGAATAATTTTTGGAGGCAGGCCCTGTGTAGTACAGGCTTCCCCCCTCTAGGTAGGTATTGTAGAAATCCAGTGGTATCAGTGTACCACCAGCTAGCGATGTTGTGAGAGGTTGTGTTCAGCTCTAGTGAATTTTTTTTCGAGATACTTTCAACACATTTGCCCGTTTCATGATGACTGATTTACAAGCACACCTGCCCACAGTGCACTGAGTATTCAGCAATTTTTTGACTTAAAACAGCATGATTCCTCTGGCCCACCCTCCATATTCACCTGAGCTTTCCCTGAATGACTTTTTTTTGTTTTCCCTGGATAAAGAGTCCTCAAAGGGAAATGTTTTGCAGTTGTAGAAGAGATGAAACAAAAAACGGCAGAAGCACTAAAAGGCATCAAAATTGACGAGTTCAAAACTTTTAAGCAGTGG